ACCAAGAATTGCTTTAGGGTTTCAGGCCCCGGATGGGATGTGAAAGGTGGTATGAGGCAGCCGGTAGGGGACACGGGGTGGCGGGGTGGGGGTGTTAGGGAAGGGAAGAAAACAGCCTGGCTAGAAGGGGTGGGGCTGCTGCCAGGGCATCTCAGCAACGTCTCAGTTGACCCCGTGGATGGCCCCTCAGACCTGTCCCGAGATGAGCCCATGGCAAGGGCGCTGGGACTCCAGGCCCCAGTATTGATCAGTCAAGGCGGCTTTCTTCAGTGGAGGCAATTCCCAAAGGGCTGGCAGCTGAGGGCTGGGGAACAGGCTTTTCATTCCTTGGGGGGGGGGGCCCATACGGGAATCATTTTGGGTAATGGAGTGGGTGGTGGCCTGCAGACATCCTTGGTCCTGGGTTTGCACATGGTCAGCGCACCTGTTTGGACACAAGGGGAAGTAGGCAGCCCTCCTGGTCGGAATCCTGTGTGGTGAGCCTCAGCCGGCATTTGTGCAGTTCGCTGAGGCCCTGGCCGCCCTCCAGCACATGGGTGAGCCTGTACTTGTGGCTTCCAGTTGACAAAGGTGCTTTACATCTGTTCTCCAGATTCCCATTTATAGAGCACCCACTGAGTGCCCAGCACTGCACCTCTGCGGTCACCACACCAAACCAGTGACACAGGTATATCATCCCCACTTACAAGGGGGAGCCGAGGCTCAGAAAAGGTACATTTACCCAGGGTCACAATAGCAGTGCTGGGGCCAGGCAAGGGGGCTGCCCTGGGTCCACGTGCCCCTTTCTGTGCCTGCGTGGGCCTCTTGCTGGGCTCCTGCTCCTGTATTGTAGGCTGTGCTACAGGACCACAGCCCCAGGCCCAGGGAAGGCTGTGGCTCGATGTCTTCAGGGTGTATGGACAGAGCTCACACCTGTGGGTGGGAGAGTCAGTCCACATGTGTGTGCAAAGACCTGTCACGTGGCTGAATGGAGCAGAAGGGGGACAGGAGGGGTGGGGAAAGCAGGTCACCCTGTGCCCCTAGCTGCCCACCCAGAGCCCCTGGAACTGAGGATTCCAAGCTTAAACTTGATAGTAGAACCCTTGGAAAGGTCTGTTTGTCCAAGAAGGTTGATAGAAGGTTCCATTTACCAGTTGTGACTTGGTTTGTCATCTTTAACTATGCAGACATGGTGAGAGCAGGCTCTCTTGCCTGAAGTCTCACGCTTTTTTGTACCCTGCTGTCAATTCAGCCATCAGGGTGCCCTTGGAGTGTTGGGCGTGGAGGGACAAACCTGGCCTCCCTAGGCATGGACCAGGGTTTTCTTGGGACTCTAGTGAAAGCTGCAGTCACAACCTGTATCTGTTCTGCAGATACTAAGGGAATAATTCTGTGGATTTTCCTGTCTTAGATATTTCAGGGTGTGGCCCAGTTTGAGGAATCCTGCCCTCCACAGAACTGGGCAGCTGGTCCTGCTAATTGTCGGGGGACCCTACAACACATTCTTAGGTCTCCTTCCTGCGGTCTCCTCTGTGACCACGCTCCCCTCCCAAGTTCCCTGCCTGGCCG